TGTGTAGAATGCCAGGGCAAGGTATGGGTTCTCTTGGTGTGAAACGTGAGACCTGGTAGCCTCAGATGGGATATACAGGGCCTGGGAGCCGGGCCAAGTTGCTTCATCCAGACTTGGCCTTAAAAATGATGGCCTGTTGAGAAGTGGGCTGCAAATGCTAGCCCCACAATCCACAGTTTTTCTTTTTGACCCATGCAGTAAACTCCTGTGTTCTTCCCCAGATCAGTTCCCCAAAGAAAGTGCTTACCCTGGTATTTAAGATCTTTTGGCCACCCTTAGAAGTTGAGGGAAGGAGTTTGCAATCAGGATAGCAAGGAATGAATGTTTATGCCTTGACATTACTGAGGGGTGGGATTGGAAGTCATTGTCTAGGCAAGTGTATTTCTAACAAGGCACTCAGAAGATGCCACATTGTTATTAATCATAACATACTCTTGCCCCCTTTAAAAGAATTACATTTGCTTCATTTTACCTTCATTGGAGCCAGGTGAATTGTGGTCACTAATGTGTTTCAGATAGGAAAGAGCTGATCCCAAGCTTGGATGAGGCTCCTAGTCTCTTGGGAGAGAAGAGGTCTCATTCTGACACTCCAAAGCATATGGAACTCAAGATTCCTAGGATGCTAGACCTTTAAACCCTACTTCAAGGGCTCAGACTTGCCTGGGCTCTTCCAGCCTCAATGATAGTTGGTGGGGAGTACCGGCTGACTGAGAATCTAATTAGCCCCAGGCTATATAAAGGAAGTCACTTAACCCTGTTTGCCTCAGTTTCCTCATCTGTAAAATGAGCTGGAGAAAGAAGTAGCAAATCACTTCAGTATCTCTGAAAAGAAAACCTCAAAAAGGGGTTGTGAAGGGTTGGACAAGACAGAAACAACTAACCAACAACAAAATATAAAGGAATATGAGTCTTAATAATAAAAGCATCTAGTATTTATATGGCTCTTTTTTGCAAAGGACTTTTACCTGTATGATCTCCTTTGATCCTTCCAATAACACTCTGAGGTAGATGCCTATTTTTATCACCGTTTTGCACAGGAGAAAACTGAACCTGAGAGAGGTGACTTGCCCCAGGATCACACAAAAAGTGTCTGTGGCAGAATTTGAACTCAGGTCTTCCTAACTCTAAGTCTGGTATTCTCTCCACTGAGCCACTTAGCTGTCATTGAGAAAGCTAATGAAAAGTATTCTCAAATAGCACACCCTACCTACAGAGCACAGACTTCTAGGCATGAGCAATTTCTAGGAAATGGATAGTAGCAAACATTTGCTGAGCACCGATTCTGTGGAGAGCATTGTGCTGGGTCCAAGGATATGCAGAAATATAAGAAGGCCCCTAACTTCAACAGACTAAAAATTTAGTTGGGGAGACAGGACATAAGAAAGACAGAATGATGTGTTGGAAAGAGTACTAAAGAGTCAGAAGGTGGGCTTAGATCCTAGCTCTGATATTTACTAGTTATGGGACCATGACTTCACATTTTCTGAACCTCAGTTTCTTCATCTGTAAGTTGGGTTAAACATTTGTACTACCTACCTCACAGGGTTGTTTTGAAAATAGGGCTTCCAAGTGCTGTGTAGTTGAGTTGATAAGCTTGAGCCTGGGTTCTGGTTCTGTCTCTGGCATACTGATTTTGTGACCATGGCAAATCCCTTCACCTTTCTGAGCCTCAGTTGCCACATTAGTAAAATGGGAATGCTAATGATGACTGTACAACCTACCTCACAGGGTTGTTGTGAGGAAGGCACTTTGTCAACCCCTATGATAGAGTCTGAGCTAGCATCCATTTCCCTTTTGCGCTCTATAATCAGAGTAAATGTGGTCACATCTGGAAAGCCCCAGGGAACCAGGCCCATTGCCTCTCACCCAGGTGGGCTCTGGGAAGATGATAGAAGAGTTAGGACTGTGGGGACTCGGCCTAATGCTCTAGGCCCTTAGGACTGTGGGTACCCTGCCAGGAGCCCTTGGAAAGAGGCAAAGCTGAGACGGGGCCCGGATGGTTTCTCCCTCGGGCCTCAGTGGTGGCGGCAGGACTGCCAAAGCTTTGTTTGGGTGGGAGGCAGGGATCACAGCTTCCGCAGCCATCCTGTCCCCGCCACTGCATGGGCCCAACGTAGAAACCATCCTTGCTTTTGTGTTTGAGCATCCCCAAAGCAGGTCGCTGCTTCTCTGACCATCACTGCATCCAGCCAGGTTAGGATGGCTGCTTGGCCACCCTTTTTGACCTGGGGGAGGGGGCAATAGTAAGCATGGGCTGGCAGCGGGTAGGGGGAGAAGGGGGAAAAAGGGCAGAAAAAAAACTTGGCCCTGCTTCTCCTTTGGGTGTTATGAGTCCTGTTCCTGGAAGATATGCTCTCTGTCTGAATCAACACAAACATTTTTCTTCTCTTCTCTTCCCTTCTCTCCCTCCCCCTTCCCCTTCAACTCTCTCCTTCTCTCACCTGCCTGTCTCTTTTGCTTTACTTTTCTGTAAGGTAAGCCAACTTTTTATTGCAGTTCTGTACCTAGACTCTAACCTGCATAGGGGAAAGCCCCTGGTGCTCATGGTGGGTGGGGAGGACCTGGGATATGTAGAAAAGTTGCTTCTGTGTCTGGGGCAAGAGCTCTGAGGCTCTGGCAATATTGCCTCGGCAGGGCCCCGGTCCTGGGGAAACTGTGTGGTTCCTTCAGGAGGGGGAGTCTGTGGTCCTCATATGGTTTAGAGGGCACAGTTTTGGAGGGTTTTCGAGCTTTTCTCGTGTGTCATTCTCCTCCTGCCCAAAGACCTGTTCTTAGACATTCAGCCTCCTTTTCCAGCCTTCCATCCTAACCCGACTACCATTTTTCTGCCACTGCCCCTAGTCAGGGCCTTGTGAACCCCATACCATTGCAAAGTCCCTTCTTTCTTCTTCTCTTTTCCTTATCAGGGGATCCCTCTTGGTATTGTTGAAAATGCTTGATTTGAAGTCAAAGGACCCAGGTTCAAATCCGAGTTCTGCCACCTCTGTGACTTTGAGCAAGTCACTTCATTTCTCTGGGCCTCGGTTTTCTCATCTGTAAAATGAAGAGATTGGACCAGATGGCCTCTAAGGGCCCTTATAGATCTAAATTGATGATCCTCAGCCCCTTCAGCCAGTTCCCACACCAGTTCCAGCTCTCGTAGGGTCTCCATTCTTCCTCTCAAATATTTGAGCTCTTCTCTCTCTCCTCCTACTCCCAGTTCCATCATTCAATCCCTCTTATCTGCATTCTTGGTACCTGGCCTTACCACCCAAGGTACCTCTCCCTCCTGGTCCAAAGCCAACTGGCACTGTGGAAAAGAAACATGAAACCACAAACAAGAAGCTTGTCGGGGATAGGCTAATGTGGTCAGAAAGCTTTAAAGGCAGGGGCTTAATGGAGGGGGGGAAGGGGGAGGGGAGGGAACTTGACCATAGGGAGGATGGGTTGTAGGGGTTAAAAATGTTGCTCTGAAACCAAAAGGAATATAAGTTCTGTCTGGGGCTGGGGTGCCCTCTGGGAGAGAGGCGGGGAGGGGAATGTGAGCCCGTGTTCCTCAGAAGGTCGCCTGATGTTTGGAACACAGAACTTCTAGGTGCTTTTCTGTTTTCTCTGTTCCTGAGCCTTCCATTAAATGCCTCCATGCCGCATTAAGATGAAAGGAAATCCCTAAACCATACCTAGTCAGGCAGACATCAGAGATGCTCAGTTTTCCTTTTCAAAAAGATAATGTGGGGAGAGAGTACGCTCTTTTTATTCCCACTCTTAAATGTACCGATTTGCCAGGTCCCTGTTCATCTTACTGACTTCAGAGGCCATCCCTCCTTTGTGGGCTCAGGCTGCTGTGGAAGGTTCTTTAGAGGGTAAGGGAACCTATCCTTGGCCTGGAGGAAGAAATTCTCAGCTGTCTAAATGTGGCCCCAGGGCTAGGGAAGAGAAGCTACCACTGGCAGTGTCCAGAGCTGGAGAAGTAAACCTGGACTGGCTACCTGCAGGGTTTGTTACAGAGCACTCAGTCACAGTCCCCTGAGGGACCTGAGATAGTGGGGGGCAAGAGGACAGCTCAGAGCAGGGTTTGCAGCCCTTGGCCCAGGGTTGCCCTGACGGGGCTCAGCCCAGTTTTCTTTGGCACATGGGCCAGCTGCCACTGCCACACACTTCTTACTGCTGGGGAAAGTGGCTGGCTGGTCTTGAGAATCTGTGGCCAGCCTGAGTATATGGCATACTTGTGGCTAGAGCCGTTCAACACCCTCCTGAATCTGGAGTTAGGTACCCTTTGGGAGACCCTTTCCAAAAGTTGTCAGCCCCTGCTTTCAAGTATGGCCTGTGTCCTAGGCAAAGACTGCAGGGTAGAATGAGGCAAGATGGGGCAGGTGAGATCGACCCCTAAAACATTCTTTCTCTCTGGCCAACCCTACCTTCCATTAGGACAGGCTGCACTCCAAACAGTATCAGAGAATAGTTTTCTAATGGGTTGGCCCTTTGGAAACCGGTAATATAGTGAGAAACCCCTAAACATTCTTCATGGGTTTCAGGGAGGGAAAAAGGATTTTGAGGAACTGTGCAAGAAAGTTGGGAGAAAACATCAAGCCAGGGAAATCAGAGATGTTCAGAGCCACCACTGTGGAGCCTGTCATATGAACTCTCCACATTTGGGCTGGGGACCTTGGTGGTTGAGAAAGTCCAGGTCCCTGGCAAATTCTAGAATTCTGGGGACTGAACCACTTGATAGAAAAGACCATTGTTTTCCTGGGAACCCTTCTCTCACTCACTTCAGGGGGCCCAGCTTCTCCCCCTGTAGAGGGACATCTCCAGAATTCACAAAGGCGTCCGGACCCTTTACTCTCCTCCTGTGGAGGTTAGGTTGGATCAGGCAGGAACTGGTGGTGGGACCTGTGTACCTTGTTAATGGGGGCCCTCCGACAGAATGGGGTCTATTGGCCAGCACCAGTCCTGCTGCAGGAAGCTGCCTCAGGGTGTGGTCTCTGGCTCTAACACCTGCTCTTTCCCTCCCAATGCAGCAGCTAAGAGCTTACTGAATAAGAAGGCGGATGGAGTCAAGGTGAGGTATTCCCTGGTTGGCTTTTCTGGGCCCCACCAGTTCTGGGATGGCAGGGTGGCTTTCCCTGGCAGCTTTTGCTCTCAGCTCTTATGCCCATGTTGCAGTCAAAGAATATTAGATTAAGAGTTTGAATACTGAATCACCTGCATGACCTTGAGTGAGTCACAACTTCTCTGGGCTTCAGTTTCCTCATCTATACACAATGAAAGGGGTCCGTCTAGATCAGGGCTTGTTAAACTTTTTCTACTCGGGGCCCCTTTTCATGTTTTGGCAGTATAAGTTGGTGTTGCACGGCCTGAGGGCATGCACAGTGCAAAGTGCACATGCTGTGTGTTCATAATCAAGGCTGCAGTGAAGTTGCCTGATGCAATACAGACAAGCACTGCCAGAAACACCTCAGATTCATTACACATTTGATTTTGAATTAATTTTTTGTCATTGCACGTTCAGAAACATTTTACTCTTGCCAAATTTTTCATGACCCCATATGGGGTTGCGACACATAGTTTAAGAAGCATTGATCTAGATGACCTCTGTGGTCCCTTTCAGCTCCACATCCACGATCCTTTGGCCCAGTGGCAACCCTGTTTTGAAGCTGTAGCCTTGATTACCCCCACCTGGTAGTTCTCACCTCTTCCACCCTTTCCAGGTACCCACAGGAGCACTGCCTCTCCCTGTCCACTTCCTACTATAGATGGCCCACCCAGTGTCCATGTTCTCCCAGAACTGACTTAAAAGGGGAGTCTAGGTAGGGGAGCCCTCTCATCTTTGCTATAGATCCAAGTATGCTCATGGCGTTTTCCTGCTCTCTGTCTCTGTCTTTGTTTGCTGTCTCTGTCTCTGTCTCTTTCCTCTTTCGCAGCCCCAGACGAACAGCACCAAAAACAGCGCGGGTGTCACCAGCCCCAAGGGGACGCTCCCTCCTGCTGCCCTGGTACTGAGCTCTTTTTGTTCCCATTTCTCCATTCTCCTTGGGCTGAGTGGATGTGTGCTGGTCACTTCCCCTCAAGAGGCCCCAGCTTGGGGTTAGGTCCAATTGAGGCTCTTCCAGGGCCTTCCCATGAACAGAGGCACCCAAACAGTAGCTCAGCCACCAAGGTGGTCTTCACCAACAGCCGTGAGGAAGGGCATATGGGTATGGAAGGGAGGGAAGGGCTCTTCTGGAAAGCAGATTTTGAGGGGTCATTGGGAAAGGAGGGACTGAGGCATGGTTCCCTGAAGTTAAGGCCTCTCGCGTAGTCAAAAGAACCCTGACATCTCAGCCAGATTACAGGTTCTAGAACAACTCTTGTCACCTTGGGAGCATACATACCTCTCTAGGTCTCACTTTTCTCATCCGTAAAATGAGAGGTTTGGAGCAGATGATTTCTCAGGGTTCAGAATTGGGGACAAAGCCACAAGTAGTCCCTCATCCCCTTACAATATGACTTTATTCATTGTTTTTCTGGTGATGAAACAAGGACAGAACAATACCTCCTCTGTTAAATAGATCCTGGGGAGAAAATCTTGAAACAAAGATAGATGGGGCTAGAGGAAATCCTGGTATTCTCAACACTGGGTTGAAGAAGAGAAAGGTTAAAACTGTCACTCCTGGTAAGAAAGTCAGAGGGGAGAGTCTCAAAGTTTTTGTTTCCGGTCTTGAGTATGGAATATGGGTTGGGTTTGAGAAGCAATGTGAAAGGACCTGGGTTCAAATACTGCCTTCCTTACATGTGTGACCTTGGACAAATCCCTTCCACTCTCTAAGCCTTCATTTCCTCACTTGGAAAATGAGGGGGCTGGACCTCTATGGCCTCTGAGGCCCCTTCCCGCTCTTGATCAATGACCATATGAGAGGGAAGGGCAGAAGCTCTGAGAGCCAGCTTGACTCTAAATTGATGGATGATCCTGGAAGGGGGCTTGAACTTGTTCTGTTTGTCCCCAGAGGACAAAACCAGAAGGGATAGGCTTGAAATAGAAAAGAAACAAATTTAGGCTTGATATTAGGAAGAACCTCCTATCAGATAGGGCTCTCCAGAAGTGACATAGGCTTCCTCAGGAGGTGGTGAGCTCCCCATCAATGGAAATCTTCAAGCAAGGGATGGGGCATATTGTTGTGGGGATGCTTTCTTTGGTATGACCGCTGAGGTCCCTTCAGATGCTAAAATTTAGAGATCCACTGGGTAGGGCAGAATTTCTAAGATCCACACATCTTAGTCACCTGGGTCCCACTGTGGGAACCTCTCTAGGAAAGCTGAATAAATCTTTAGGGCCCCATGAGGAAAGTAGATGTCAAAGTCCACCTCCCCCAGAGGAGAGGGAGCCCATCCTTCTGGCCCCTCTAATTTCAGGGTCACAGGGAGTACAAAATATATTCTAATGACTCCTTTATTATTTCTCCCTCTAGGAATGAAATGGTTGACAATACAGGGCAAGGTTGGAATGAATGGTGTTAATTAAGAGATCTCCCATATTATCCAGAAAGCAAGAGGGGATTCACCCAGCTTGTCTAGGTTCATTTATCATCTTTGCCTCTCCTTCCTGTTAGATTTTAATTTCCCTATTGGGAAAGTTGCACTGATGGTCTAGATCTACCAAGTACCATGGGAGCAGTATCTTTCAGTGGGTTTTATTTTCCCACAATGACAAGGAGAAGATATTTTTTAATAGGGATGCCCCTTAGCCAGATAGTACCAATGAATCAAAGCCCTGGTCTGGGTCCAGGAACAATTTCTGGTGGGTGAGCAGCCCAGGAGGCCTGTTGGTCATATGCCCATGTCATGCAGGCTGGGGGACCTTCTGTAGAGAAAATGTCGTTGATCTGGGCAGTCTCCTCCATTTATCTGAAAGATTATCTTCTTAACTTAGGGACTGGAAACTGTAGCAGCATGAGATGTTTGGAAATGGTTAACTATAGAACCTAGCAAGGCTGAGAATGTAGCCATCAATAGGGAGAACATCTCTCTGGGTACTGCTTCCCATGTGTTCCCGTCTCCCCAGACAAAAAAAAAAGTTAAAAAAAATCTACTTGGAAATAGGTCCTTGGTGACTCTGGGCAATTCACTTAACCCCAATTGCCTCACCAGAAAAATAAAAAAGAAATAGGCTTGGCGCTGGCAAACAATGACACTCTGCACCCACTTACCCCTCCTGCCTCTCATTGCGACTGAGCCTATTTCTCCACTTGACTTCAGAGTCTTCCCATCATACCGATGGTGGGAGGCAGGTACCTGGCTTAAACACCAAATGTTCTCTCAAAACTTCGTAGAAGGAAGGGGAGTCAGCTTTGTCACGGCTGTTTTTGGAAGACTGAAGCTTTGAGTATGGACCACATCCTGCCCTGGGGACCCGAAAGGCTTTTGAGCCCTAGATTGGGGGTGTGTGTTTCGAGGGATGTGCTCCTTCTGATAAGAGGTGATGGATCAGGGTACAGAATGAAACAAATACCTTTTGAGACATGACCAATGCAGAAATTTTGCTTGACTATGCATTTTTGTTACAAAGTTTTTTTTCTTTTTCAATTGGGGTTGGGAAAGAGAGAAAATAGATTTTTGTTTATTGAAAAAAAAATTAAAAAAAATTAAGGGGCCATGCCTCAGATTATAAGAACACTGAATTAGAGTCTCCTAGAGCCAGGTCCTAGACCCAGAATCAGCTGACTCTTTTCTAGCTTTTGGGCCCAGAGCTGAATGAGGGAAAGGGCAGGATTTGGATGAGGATGTCACATGATGCCACTTTTTTTTCTTTGACCTCATGGGTTTAGACATTTTATTTTTATTTTTTTTTAATTATTTTTTTTGGCTAGGCAATAGGGTTAAGTGACGTGCCCAGGGTCACACAGCTAGTAAGTGTTATGTGTCTGAGGTCAGATTTGAACTCAGGTCCTCTTGAGTCCAGGGCCAGTGCTCTATCCAGTTTAGACATTTTATAACAGACTCTAGATTTTTTTTTCCTTTTCCCACTGGGGATTCGAACTGGGATTTGAGGAAAGAGAGTCTTGGGACAGGAGCATGAGTGGTGGGGTCCTGGCAAAGGCCTATCCTAGATCCACTGGGAAGCAAGAACCAGCTGCTTTCAATACCTTTGAAATTTTTTTTAAATTTTGATTTCATTTTTCAGTTAACAAGCATTTGTTTTCTCTCTCTTCTACCCCTCCCATTTAAAGGAAAAGAAAAAAGAAAATCTTTGTAGTAAATATGTATAGTGAAATAAAACAAATTCCTACTGTGTCCATGTCCAAAAATGTATGTCAGAATTTCCTTTATTGAGGGAAGATGGGCCAGGGCTACCAACCCTTCTCCAGCCTCTGCTTTTCCCCAGCCCATACATGGCCACCTGATTTCCTTGGTTATTGGTTTTACCTGCTACTGACAAACTAGGCTAAATATACCATTCCCCAGGGCTGTCCTTGCATCCGATATGCTGTGGATGGTCAGTGCTCAGAGCCCACTTCCTGGAGCATCATTGCAAATTAGCTATCAGACGACTTGTTCCAGGCAAATGCTGGTGAATCCTGGCCAGTGGTCAGGAGTGCTTGCTACCTTTCCTTTACACCCAGTGTGCCTCCAATGAGCTGGTAAAGATGGCACAGGCTATTGCTCAGTGTGAAGTATGTATCTTGCAAGGGTGCCCTAAGCATACAGAGAGTAAGTAGTCCCTTCTTCTGACTTGTCTGCATCCACATGTGTAGGGTTTCTTGGCCAGATGAATATATTTTCATGAATCTGGTGTATCACTCAAAAGTGGTATATAAATTGAGTTTTGGTCAGTCAATATTTTAAGTAAACTAGAAACCTTATTCTTACAGTGAATTCTGTTAAGAACAATCATTACCCACAGATTTAATCTGTTTTGCAAATTGAAATTTTCATGTAGTGGGTGGGTTTGCACAAATTGAGACATTACCTGAATTCTCTCCAGCTAAATGTGATTGTGACTGAGAAGTTTCTTTACCTTTGGGCTCCATCTAGTCCCTTGACTGTGCTTTGTGGAAGAGCACCTACAAGGAAATGTCCCCTAAGAAAGTTTCGGTCCCTAGGATTTGCCAGATTGAGTGCTGTGAGCTGGTTTGTTTTGCTTGGTGAAGGTCTGGAGTGAAGTCCACAGTCTCACTCCTCAGCTTGTGTCCCACAATGCCATTGAGAACTGATGGAGCAAGGAGACGAGAGTCTTGGTTCTGAAGGAATGATGCCTTGGGGGACTAGAAGCTGAGCTGAAAGCAATGAGCCCCAAAGGAAGGAATGGGACATATACTCTGGTCCCTAGTGCCATTTTGTTTTGGCACTGGGAGACAAGTCCCAAATCGTGTTGGCTCCATTTGGATTGGGTTTAGATGTGGCCCTCTGCAGACACGAAGGTACAACTCCAGATAAGGGTATTTTGTGAATTTCCCCTACCGATGCAGCCATTGCCAAGAGCCCCTATCCAGATCGACACAGCTGTAGCTCCAAGCTTGGCACTGTCCACTGCCTTGTCCTGCCCCCTGGGAAAAGCCTCTGGAGAGGACCACCCAGACAGTGATGGGGGAAGGGAGAGGAAATCCTTCTAAAGCAGACCCCAGCAGTGACCCTGGCATTGGGATTAGACCCCTCCTTTGGCTCCTCTCTGTCCTCACAGCAATCTGTTATTCTCTGCTCACCTACATAACATGAAATGCTTCTCTCAGCCTTAAGTGAGCCCACAGCTGCTGTTTCCATGCTCTTCATCCCTTCTTCTCCTCTCTTGAGATGGGTGACAGTCTTTACATGGTTTGGGATATTTTTTATTTCATTCATGTTAATTCAATTCCAGATTTCTCTTCTAGCCTTACTCTGCCACTCTCTGTTTTGAATCATTTGTCTCTCACTGAACTAATTACTTTTTGCTTCCCCCCCCATTTCTACCTCCCTTCTGCTCTTTCCTGAACTTCTTTTTCATCTCTCTCTTTCTCTCTCTTCATCATGCTGTCACCTCTCCACTTTTCTCTGTCTCTTCAATGTTTCCTTTTCTTTCCTATTGGCATCATTTCTTTTTTTCTCCCTCATTCTACCTCTCTTTCCTTCCTCTGTCTCTTTCTTTCTCTGTAGGAGCCTCAAACCACCGTTATCCATAACCCAGTGGACGGGATTAAGGTACTGCTGCCTCTCTTTCCTTCTCACCCTTTCGGGAATTTCTGTTTTTTCTCTTTTGTGATTCGGGACTCAGCTAGTTGGGGTCACTTTGTAACTGTTCTATCTCCCTGCTTCCCTCTCAAAACAAACTCTGGGCTCTATGGTTTTTGTTTTTATCATTGTGGGGAGAAGATCCAGATTAGTTTGTGGTTAGGAAGCTATAGGGCTAAGGAGAGTGTCAAAAAGCCCCTGGAGTCTCAAAATTAGTTAGATGGCATTGAGCTTCTGGGGATCTGAGTGACTTGGAGTCAGGAAGACCTGAATTCAAATCCTGCCTCAGACATTTACTAGCTATATGACCTTAGGTAAGTCACAACTTCTCAGCCTTGGTTTCCTTAATCTGAAAAACTGGGATAGTGATAACACCTATCTCACAAGTTGTTGTGAAGGTCAAATTAGATAACATATAAAACACTTTGCTTTATATGTTACTGTATGTTTCACTATAGAAATGTGAAATTATTATTATTATTATTATCATTAATTTCTATCTAGCCTCCAATGAATGACGTTGACCAGGGCATATGAAAAGGACCTCAGCATTTGGGACTCCCCAGGGCTGTTCTAGTGTATATAGCCCCTCAGGTGGAGTTGTCAGGGCCCTTCAATTTCCATAGTTTCATGATAGAGAAGGTAACTAGTGTTCCCCACCCTGTCCTCTTTGCCCAAGCTGTCCAAGGGCAGTAGGTGAGAGGATGGTCCTCCACCGAGGCCTTTTGGTCTTTAGAGATGGGACCCTAAGGGGATGGGCCCAGAATAGCATGGGAGTGGGTTAGAGAAACAATGGGGAAGGTGGTAGGGAGCTTGGATTGGCTGAGGAAAGCAGCACCGTGCCTGGCCCCGCCCCCACTGCTCATGTACTGTGTCCACCTCGGACAAGCCTGCTCTCCTGCCCTCAAATGTTTTCTGCTCAAGAGACTTCTTCTTCCTGTCCACTTCTGCTCCACTCTGATCATCAACTCACGTCAGCGCATCGGCATAACCATTCCAGGGGAGGAAGCCTGAGCCTTGCGGGGGCTGCTTAGGTGGTAACTCAACAGGAGGCCTTCCCTCTCCTAGTGCCATCCTGTCTGGCTGCCATGTGCACACCTGCACTCCTTCAGGAGGGCTAATCCTGCGTGACAGGCAGTGGGGTGTAATGTTAAGGACAACTGAATATGGAGCCAGAGGACTTGGGGCATTTGAATCTAGGCTGTGGTGCTCACAACTGTGGGAGTCACTTCCTTTGTCTGGGCCTCAGTTTCCCTGTCTCTAAGGTAAAGTGATCGAACTAGATGATCTAGGTCAGGTAGATGAGCTCAGAGGTCCTCGATGCCCAGTTGTCTTGGAGGTGAACTTCTAAAAGTAAAAGCTGAAAATGGGGGTGTTTCTCAAGCTGTCAGCATGTTCCAGCACCCATTTCCTTTACCATCTAGCGTGCTATTGGGTATCCCCTTGTGACTCTGGGCCTCACAGGCTTGGATTAGATGGTCTCTAAGGTCCTTTCCAGCTATAGAGTTCAAGGAGATTGCCCTTTCTGAATGAGGTGTTCTCTAGGGCACATGCATGTATGCGTGTGTGTCTTTGTGTCTCTCTGTGTGTCCTCTGTAGTCTATTTGCCTGTTGTTTTCTGCAAGGAAGAATCGTCTTTCAAGAGTGACCCCTGCACCAAAAGGAGAGGAGGGGAGCTGCCTCCTCTTTGTTTCCTGCAACTGAGGTCAATCAACAGTTATCAATCAAGCATCTACAATATGCCAGGCACTGTGTTAGGCTATGGGGATATGAGAATGAATAACGAATAGATCTAGTGCCTGCCTATACTGGTTGGATTGGCTCAAGAGAAGCTTTGTCTGGCTGATGTGTGGTATTGAGCATAGTCTTGGCAGCCCTTCTTCAGAGACCTCCCCCCCAGTCTCCTTTGTAGCTTCCCCAGTTCATCAGTGCTTTACTCATACAGGGTCTGGAAGTCCATCACCTAGGGAGCAGACCCAGCCCTTCCCTCCTGCAACACTCTAGCATAGGGTAGGGTTCTGATTCTCTGAAGGTTACTTCTCCCTGACCCCCTTTTACAAGAAAGACAGTGTGGTATAATGAAAGAATGCTAGCCTTTGAGTCAAGAAGACATGGGATCGAATCTTACCTTAGACATGGTCTAGCTATACAGCCCTGGGCAAATCACTTAAATCTCTCTGAAAATCAGTTTCCTTGTCTGTAAAAGAGATAATAGCAACTCCTTGAGGGGCTTGTGGTTGTTGTCAGACTCAAGTGAGATCATGTGTGGAAAGCCAAAGAAAGCCATTGTTGTTATTTAGAGAGACATTGCAAGTACTTTGTGTTTGTCTGAAACCCCCAAAGGGCCTGCACCAGTGTCTGACTGAGGAGGACACTAAGCCAGAGACAGTTTACAGTCTATGCTGTTGCTACCATTAGAAAGAAAAGTCCCAACTCTTTCTCTGTTATCCGATTTTCCCTCATAGATAACCAAAACCTTAGTTGTAAGAAAGAGTTCTGGGGCCACAAGTAGGGTATGATTGGCTTTTCAAGGATCCTGGAAGACCAGGCTGGAACCCACACAGGTATAAGCAAAGAAAAAGTCAGAAGGACCAGTCCCAGGAGAGTTGCTTTTCCAAGGTATCTTTCATCCTTTGTGTGGGTTCCAGCACATCTGTGTGAATCTCAGTGGTTGTTGTCCCACCCTGGCAGCTGATGGGGGGTTCCCTTGGCCATTTCTGGGGAGTTGTAGGCTCATAGAAACGTAGTCATATCCAGATTAGCTAGAAGGCACACACAGGGAATAGGATACTCTGGTGAATTGAGTTTTCTGGTTGACTGAATGTTTTGTCCTTTCCCATTTCAAGCCACATTGTTTAGAAGTTCTAAAGCATCCACTTTCCTGCCTGAGCAGGTAGAAACCCAGTGAATGTATCTGTCTTTTTGATGATTCAGGGTCTTATGGCCTCAAAGTCACTGTCCTAAACCTCAGTTCTGCTCACCTGGAAACCTGTATGGGGTTCTACCATGGTTGTAGCTATAGAAGGTAGAGGAGGTTGAAGCTGGTGTTTCTTGATTCCCAAGGCACACTCTGAAAATTATTGGGGAGTTTTTGTTTTAAATAGGCCAAGGTTTCGAGGGTCCATCAGCATAATAGGCACTCTGTACACTGCTCAGAAAATAGTGTTGCTGTCATGGACAAATTCACTGCTCCATGGCCAATATCAAGATGAGCCCTCCAACCTTAGCTGGGCTGATCCTCAGAAACCACACAGGCTGCTGCCAAGCCTGCACCCAAAATGTTTTCCTGTATGGTAGGACCCATCAGAGCTCCTTCACACTCTATTGTCACAGCCTTCCAAAACACAGGCTCACCCCCAGGCTGCAGTGAGGTACCAGAGAGGCAGGATGTTAGTGGAGGGTGGTAGTTGTCGTAAGTGTTGTTGCTCTTGTCTCAGAATTCCTGACATTAGCCTGTTTCCTTGCCATTTGCTTCTCTTTTCAGAAAGCTGAGGTTCTATCTCTCCAAAAGAAAAATAAAAGAGACAGAAAAACCCAGCCAATCTATTTTATTTAATTGAGGTTTTGCTGTCCTCTGTCCAGTCCTAATACGTACGTGTGTGTGTGTGTGTGTGTGTGTGTCCCAAATTCTTCCTGGGCCACCTTCCATTTTCTTCTTCTCACTGGGTCCTAAGGATAAACAGCAGGGGGGAAAAGGGGGACCTGGAAAGAAGGGAAGATGCTGAGAGGTGCTCCAGATCTAGGGAAAAGTGGACCACAGGCTCGTAGCTTAAGCCACAGGCACCTTCTTCCAGGTCTGTTGAAGCATGGGCATTGCTCTATGGAGTTCCAGCAAAGGGGCTTGGATCTGAGTGGGACTCTGCTGGAGCTCACAGCAGACTGTGAGTGGTGTTGCTACTGATGAGTAGCTCCTTAACCAGGCACAGACCTCATCCAGGAGAGGGCTGCTTTGGCTTAATTGGAGACCACTCCATCCTGTCTGCCAGTTCCAGCTCCGTATCCTATGGCTGCCACCTCTTGTCAAACTCCTTTCTTTTCTGTCTTTCTCATCTGCTCCCTGTGTACTCCCTCTAGGAATCATCAGACAGCACCAACACCACCATAGAGGATGAAGACACCAAAGGTAAGGCCCCTCGGCTGATCTTCCGGTGACCAGATAGGCAGTGAGGGCCAGAGACCGGAGGCATTTGGAGGGGATTGGAAATGCTTTGGGCTCTGGCCTTGATTCAAAGAAATAATAAGAAAAGCAGGAGAGGCTAAGAAGCACCCATGAGTGAAAAAGAGAACAAACTATAGGCTACGCTGGGTCATCTTCCATTTAGGCTATAGTTGTGGGATGGGACTGGGGAGCTACATTGGGGATCTGAGTGGCATGTGCCAGCCTAGCAAGCCCAGGACTTAAAAAGAGGCAGCAGATTGATTTCAGACTCTGACCAAAGGAAGCCCAGAGTGACTCCCAAACCAAAGGTTTCCCTAGGTTCCACTGTTAACTTTCCATCTGCCAACACCACCCAAAGGAGCAGAGGTGTCACCATTGAGAATGCCTCCTCACCTATTTGCCCCTCTCTGGCATCCCCTTGCATAGTTTCTCATCCACCCAATGGGGTGCTAACCAAGCAGGTCACAGTAAGTATGAGGTGTACAGGGAAGAACACCTCCAAAGACCTCGATTCAAATCCCATCTGTTACTTCTCACCTAGTGATCCTGGGTAAGTCATTTCTGTTCCTTGGGTCTGGGTTTCCTCATCTGGAAAAGGAGACGGGTTAGACTTGAATGGATGATCTCTAAGGCTGCCTCTTTCAGCTCTAAATCCTATGAAACTATTAAACTCCTTTCCTATGCTAGGTTGGCTGCAGGAGCTTGTGCCTTAGCCTAGCCACTGGCAGCTTCATACCCATAACCTCAGTTTTACAGACCTCATGTTTCACTTCTTGGTCCCCAGCTGACTTTTCTCCTGAGTCCCCTCCTTTTGGGGGAGGGTGGGTCTGGTCTTGGTCCCCTAGGCAGGAAGGCCCGTTCTGTATGAGGAAATCCCCCTCCCTGGCAACCTGAATTAGGGGTTCATGACCTGGAGTCCATGGATTGCCCCCCCAAAAAGGTCCATGGATAAAGTTCAGGGGATCCATGAACTTGAATGGGGAAAAATGGTAGCCTTATTTTCACTAAGCTTTGGTTTTCTTTGTGATCCTATGTATTTTATTCATTAAAAACATGCTTCTTCACCAGAAGAAGTGTGTGACAGGTAGGTAGCACACTAGGCTTCACTGGACTGGCACACAAAAAGGTTAGGAAGCTCTGCTCTAATTAATAAGAGCCCCCCGTTCCCTTTTTGACGAAGCTGGCTTCACTCAGTTCCTCGTATTTGCTGCCACCTCTTTGCTCTCAGGCAGGCAAGCCTTTCCCGGTGGCCCCAGCATACAGCCCTAAAACTGGTCACCTGAAGACCTTCCCCAAAAGCTTTCTGCCCCTGGACCCTCTAGAGTGTCTCAGACCTTATGGCCACAGTATCAGGTTCCCATTTCCTGGAGTCCTATCCCAGCATTTTCAGGGTTAACATTAGAGAATCAGCCTGCTTCGGTGGGGGAAAAATCACTGGACTAAGTATCAGGAGATGGGGCTTGTGTTTCCATTTCCACCCCTTGGCCATCCATGTGATCTTAGGCAAATTGCTTTGAGTTACACTGCCTCCCCCAAAGTGTGTGACAGGTAGGTGGCACAGTGGATAAAGCAGTGGGACTAGAGTCAGAAAGACCAGAGTTCAAATCTAGCCTCAGACACTTACTAGCTGTGTGACCCTGGGCAAGTCACCTAACCCTGTTTGCCTCAGTTTCCTCATCAGTCAAATGAGCTGGAGAAGGAAATGGCAAACTGCTCTAGTGTCTTCATCAAGAAAAAAACTCCATGGACAGTATTAAAATGCTCAAAAGACATGACATCAGAAGATGAGCCTCTTAGTACCTGACGTGTTGTGGTCCACAAGGTCATGGAGACTTGGGCACAACTGAACAACAATAACCTCGGAGTGTGGTGAGGATCCAGTGAAACAACATATGTAAATCAATAGGGGAGCATTTATTAAACAGTTACTATATACCAGGCACTGGGGTAGGCATTCGGATTTCAAAGCCATACCTTCCCTCAAGGTGCTGTACATTCTATATGGGGACATATAAGTTTATGCAAAATATACAAAAAATATAAACTAGAAAAAGCTACATAAATGATTAGCTTCCTATGGTGTTGTCTAGATGAAATAAAGTAGGCAAATTCACTTTGTAAATTGTAATGCCTATATAGACCATAAGGTGTATCCAAACTCCACATTTTACATTATTGTTATTCCTTTTCCAATCATATAGGGTATTCTCAAATCCACATATATTTGAGGGAGCTTTTACAATGGGAACAGCCTAGAAATCCATTTTCTGATCCCATGTCAATTGCATTGCCCTGGGACTGTCCCTTTACCCAAGCCTGCCTTTATCCTCATCAGAGCTGGGATGAGGGCAATGCCCAGTAACATGTAGGCAGTCATGGAGCCCCTGAAGCAATCATTAGGCCTTGAAGGCAAGAGCTGCAGCATCAAGGAAGAACATTAGCAGGTAGCCAACCAGCCCTCTGGTCTCACCACTCAACTGCTAGGAAATACCCACTGTCTCAGTATGCTGAGTATCAGGAGATGGGGCTTGTGTTTCCATTTCCACCTCTTGGCCACCTGTGTGATCTTAGGCAAATTGCTTTGAGTTACACTGCCTCCCCCAAAGTGTGTGACAGGTAGGTGGCACAGTGGATAAAGCAGTGGGACTAGAGTCAGAAGGACCAGAGTTCAAATCTAGCCTCAGACACTTATTAGCTGTGTGACCCTGGGTAAATCACCTAACCCTGTTTCATCGGTAAAATAAGCTGGAGAAGAAAATGGCAAACTGCTCTAGTGTCTTCATCAAGAAAAAACTCTCAGGATCCAATGCAGCAGCAGTCAGATCTCCCTTTAGGGGAAGACCAAGGCCTAGGAGGGCTGATGAAGGAGGAAGCTGGGGCCCAGGAAGTTGGCCCCTCGGCTTGGCATTAGGAAGAGCATAGGGAATCCCTGCTCGGTGACCACTCATTGCGTGTGGTTGCAGCTCTCCTAGATTATAAGGCTCTGCTATCTTCAGTCACATCTCTACTGTCAGGATAGGCGTAAGGCCAAGGGCTTTCATTGTGCTGGGATCGTAGGTTTGAGAGCTGGGAGGGATGGAAGTTATTCAGAGTCATAAGTTCAGAGCTGAAAGGACCCTTAGAGGTCATCCAGTCTTTTGACAGAGGAGAAAACTGAGGCCCATAGAGGAAGAGTCATTCAAGCCGTCTAGCTTTTTGCCACTGGACCACAATGCCATAGAAAGCTGATTCCCTGCCCCCCTTCCCCCCACCCCCCGCCATATATTCTAGGCTCCAGCATTCTCTCTCCACTCCCACCCCACCCCCAGTGTCCATTCATTCTTCTACCACATCCTCAGAGTGGGAAGATCCTCTCCACGATTAGCCTACGTGATCCACACCCTTTAGCCTCCTACTTCTTCATCTGAGTCACACCTGATGTTGGGGGCCAGGGGGGTGTGCGTGAACCAGATGGGCCAAGGAAGAGAGAGGCTGTCAAGAAATCCTGGCTCAGCTCCTCTGTCCTTGGCTGGGTAGTCTCACACAAGCCATATGAACTTCCTGAACCTCCATTTTCTCTTATGTCAAATGGGAATAATAATGTCTGTGTTGCCTACCTCACTGGGCTTTTGTGAGGCTCATGGGAGATAATGTTCACCTTAAAGCGGTATATAAATGCCAGTAGTAGTGGTAGTCATAATAGCCAAAGAAGAAGGAGAAAGAAATCAGGCCCAAAGGTTTTTTTTTTTTAAAACCTGAATTGTCCGTTGTCTCTTTCTTGGGGAGGTTATTCTGTTTGTATTTCACTAAACATTGTGACCCAGAATGGGGTGGAAAGAACGCTTGATTTAAAGTCAGAAAACCTGTGTTCATATACCAACTTTTTATATTGAGATAAGTCACTTTCCTCCTCTGGGCCTTAGTTTTCCCAGCTATAAAATGAGGCAATTGGACTGAATGATCCGTAAAGGTCCTTCCCTTCTGGCACTAAAATCCTATAATCCTCCTGCCCTGCCCTGGACAGCCTCTCCCCATAGAAGGAGCCCTCTTTGTCTTCCCAATTAAAGCTACCTGGCAGTAGTTGAAATTAGTGGCCATCCGGGCTCTTGCCTAATAAAGAAGTAGAAGATGGCATCAAGCCACATTTGGAACATTTGCTCAGTTTTGGGCAAGGTGGTTTGGGAAGGACATTGATGAGCGGGAGGAAATCTAGAGGTAGCCAAAAAGGGGATGGCAACATCACGATCCTTGAGTCTGTGTCATATGAGGATCAGCTGGAGGAATTGGGGATGCTTATACTGAAGGAGTGAAGACTCAGGGGAGACAGGGCAACTGTCTTCAAATATCTGAAGGAAGGGCTGTCGTATGGAGAAAGGATGAGCCCCAGGAGGTAGAACCAGGAGCACTGGGTAGACAGTGTGAAGAGACAAATTTAGGCTTGATGCTGGGAAAACCTTCCTAAGAAATTGTGCATCCCTCCCTAAGGGGAATGAGCTGCCTCAAGAGATAGTGGGTTGCTCTTCTTTGGGGTTCTTCGGGCAGTGACTGTATGAATGCTTGTTGAACATATTTTAATGAGAATTCCTTTTCAGGGTTAGGTTGGACTAGTTGGTCGCTAAGACATCTTTCTACTCTGAAATTCTGTGATTATGTGAAGACTGTCATATTATTAAATATTAGAGGTCCGGCTGGGACTCAGAGGCTGATCCCAGGCCATAAAAATGGGAATTCCCTTGCCCACTAGCCCAAGACCCATATTCAAGGACAACTTTGCCTGGAGACACTGGGAGCTCCCTACTTTCATTTTGGCCAAGATCTATTAAACTCCTACTATGTGGGGCACCATAGTAGGCACCAGTGTAACAGTCCCAGCCCTAGCGTAAGGTCAAGGTTGCAGCCAAGGACACCAAAGTTAGTTCCAAGGATGGAGCTGCCGGGCCTACTTTCTATCCAAAGGCTGTCCCTGGTAAACCAGTAGCCAGTGTCTTCCTCACTCCCTCACCACACCCCCACTCTGGTCTGGGGCCCTGCTGGGTTAGGGATCCCAGATGGCTGGTTCTAGGCTATACCTTTGTCTTCCAGGATTCTTATCTTCCCCTGCATTTCTCTTCTCTCACTTTTCTCATTCTGTTTATAGCTTCCCAAGCCCTGGCCATTTCATCTTCTGCTCCCTCCTGTTCACTCTCTTCTTTGTTTCACCTTCATCAGTCCCCAGGATCTCTGATATTCTAAGCTCGGTGAGGAGGGGTTCAGGGCCCCCAGAAGCTGAGGGGCCCCAGCCATGTCCGTCTCCAGCTCTCCTAAGCTCCCTGCCTGTCCTGTGTAAGTAGTTACTTCCCTTCCCCAGGCAACTTTACAAATGGTGCTTCCACCCAGTCCTCCATTCTTCCCCTGTAGGGTTGGCCCATCATTATGGGAAACTTCTGAGGAAACCCAAGTGTTCCCTCACTCTTTGGGAGCTGCCTCTGCACGAGATTAGAGGGCCCTATACAACAGGGTGCTTGTCCTGTGCTGCCTTTAGAAACTAGCAGGAAGCACAAACAGCATCTCCAAGCAGGATTGTGTCTTACCTGGAGGGGTGATGGGAGCAGAGCTCATGAGGGCTTCTCTCCAGGCTCTAGCACCTGTATACCTAGGGAAACACCGGCACCTGCTTATAGATGTTGACCAAGCAGTCTTTGTTCTGCATGAGACAAGAGGCCCTGATGGCCTCAGAGCTAAACAGCCCCTTGGTATCTTCCACGAGCCTCAGGGTTGAGAGAGAGAGAGGAGTTTCTGCTTTCTCAGAGACTCTTTGTCTGTCCCTCTCCTCTATAATCTTGTCCTTACTTCCCTGAGTCCTACTCCCAGTCTTCCAGAGGAGAGTGTTCTGACCCCTGCCCTATCTCTCACCCCAAGGGTCCACTTTCAGATATGAAACCTAGGGTCCTTAAGATGGGTGAACCCTGCCCCCCCCTTAATCCTTTTCTTGAGAGGTGAGGAAAAAGTAGGCAGTAAGTAGATCTCCCCTCACTATGCATGCCTTTGGCCAGGGTCCCCTATGGGTTTGGGACTAGGCCTGAAGGGTTCGGGGCCTCCTAAATGTAGAGTCCTAGTTAGGCCCAAGTACTATTTCTTGTTCCCCACTGTCCCTCAAATGGTCCCAGGCAGCAAGGCAGACCTGATCTCTATCTTATTTGCTCTCTCTGCCTTCCCAGTATGCTCCTCCCTGTTAGTTTCTCTTTCTGCTCCAGACTCGTGTTCACTCTCTCATCTGTTTCACCCCAGCCCCCAGGATCTCTGACATTCTAAGCCCAGTGAGGAGGGGTTCAGGGCCCCTGGAAGCCGAGGGGCCACAACCGGCCATCCCCCAGCCTTGTCCGTCTCCGGCTTTCATGAGCCCCCTGCCATTCCCGTGTAAGTAGCCAGCCCCACTGAGGGGCCCTGCTGCTTCTGGTGCCGTGAATGACCGGGACAGGCTGAGCCAGCTACCTTCCCAGCTCATCCCAGCTTCTCTTAGATGGCTGCTGCCAACGCCTCCCACCTGCTTTCCTTCTAACCTTTGCCCAGGCCACCCAGCAGTGGGGCCCTAGGCACCACTGGAGTTCACCTAGACACCAGGAAGGTGTTCTTGTCCTCCTTGAGGCGCCGTCCTAACCCCCGTGGGCCTGCTGCCTGTCTTCTCTGGTCGCCAAACTTAACCCAGCTTTGACTAATCATGACTCACCCCACCACTCCCTTGTGCCTATTGGGGATGTCTTAGGCCTTCGCAGCTAGAGGTCTCCAGCCCAGCCCAATCTAATGCCCTGGACTCTTCCTGCTGTCCTGCCTCCAGCTTGGAGTCCCCCAACCTTTGGGATCAGCCCAAAGAGTAATCCCAGAGAGATAGGCCACAGTGAACTCCTGGGATAGGAGGAAAAGGCTCCCACTTTAATCCTCAGCTCTGATAGCCCCACCAGAGTAGCGTAGTGGGAAATATAGCATATGTGAGCATATGTACATCTTGGCCTGACCTGCCAAGAAGCTGGAAGCTGGGACAGGAAACAAGAATTCCAGAAGCCATGTCCCCCCATCCTCTACCCACAAATTCCTGGGCCTGGAGTCAGGAAGACCTGAGTTCAAATCCTGCCTGAGATATTAATGACTGTATCACCTCAGTTCTCTGGGCCTCAGTTTCCTCATCACTAAAATGAAGAGGTTGGATTAGATGACCTCTAAGGTCCCTTCCAGCCTTAAATCTATGATCCTGTGACTTCCTAAAGGGGAAGGGCCTTCCAGAGACCCATCCCTCTCCCTCAAAACAAATCAGCTTATGTTGTCTGAATCCCAAATGTGGAAGTTGAGTGGTACTTGGTGTGAGTCTGGGCTGCTGTGAATAATTTCCAAGGCAGAGGGCTCCTTGGTTTTTTGTCCCATCTCAAACCATCCTGGAACTGAAACAACGTTCATTGTCAGGAAATTCCTTCTTGAGCTCTGGTCAAGTCTCTTTTGCGCTATTAGGGAGAAAGAAAACTTTCTTCCTTGTGGGACCCCCACTTTATACAGTTGGGGGGTACCTGTTGGAGGGAAGGATTATAAATCAGAGTTTTTTTCAACTGTGTCCTATATTCAGGACATCACAGGAATGAGATACTTAAAAGAAGTCCTGTGGCTAAAGTTTTATATAGAAACTAATCAGTATCCCTGATTTATGCTAAGCCTGGAATCACAGGATCTGAGTTCAAATTCTGACTCCGTTAATTACTGCCTTCCTGACTTTAGGCACATCTCTTCTTGTCTCTGGCCTTATTTTCCACATTTCTCACATGAGGGGTTTGGACTAAGTGACCTTTAAAGTCCCTTCTAGCTCGAAATCCGTTATTCAAACAATAATTTTTTTTTTGGTCCAGATTTTTATATCTCGAATTTGCTTAATTGGAGGGGGTAGGAGATAAGGTATACATTTAAGTGTGATGTACAGAGAGGAAAGGAAAGCAACTGTTGATTCTGGCTTGGAGTAAGATCTACCCTCTTGCTGCATGATCTCATTTGCCTTCATTGGGCATCACTGGGTCTAACCTCATTCACCACCCTGGGAGGCACACTCCTAGGTCAGGAGATGCTCCCGCCTCCCTGTTGCCCTCTAACACCTCTAACATCTCTAGAGGGTTCTCAGAACTCAGATCTAACTTGTGTGGCATCTTGGTCTCCTACTTGGTCTGCCTTTGAATCTTGACAGATTAACTCTGCCTAACATCTGGATAATTCCTTCCTTCCTTCCTTCCTTCCTTCCTTCCTTCCTTCCTTCCTTCCTTCCTTCCTTCCTTCCTTCCCTTTCTTCCTCTTTCCTCCAGCTTGGCTTCCTGTGCCCATCCATTTTTCCTATTCTGCTCATACCCTCTGCTCCTATGTCTTGTTCACCATCTTGTCTATTTCACCCCAGCCCCCAGGATCTCTGACATTCTAAGTCCAGTGAGGAGGGGTTCAGGGACACCGGATGCTGAGGGCCCCCAGCCAGCTGTGCCCCAGTCCTGTCCATCTCCATCTCTCCTAAGCCCCCTACCCACCTCATGTAAGTAACTGTTTTTTAGGTGGTCCTGCCTGCTGCTTTGTTAAATGGGCAAGCACTGGTTTTCAGAGGCCAGCCATAGCTTTTCCATCTCTGAGACAATGGAGGGGGACAGGGAAAAACAACCAAGAAGGGGCTGGGTGCCCAAGAGGAATGATGCCAGCTAGGCATCATATTGGTGCTCCTGGGGGCATTGTGAAGAGGGTGGAATAGATCCCGAGATCTTGGGTTTTTTCCATTACTTATCAGGAGGGTAGAGATGCAGGTAATACTGGTAGAAAGAAGGTGCTATATATTTACACATGTATGTGATCACACATACAAGTTATGTAACTGGAGAGGAGGGGAGGTTGTATATAGGCAGATGGCCGGGCCAGTATCTGAGAGTGGGGGGAACCGTAGTCTCTCCAGGAGAATTATGGACATGTCAGAGGCTCTCAAAGTATAGAAAATAGTTATAGGATCAGAGAATCGCAGATTTGGGGCTGAAGAGGACTTTAGATCCAACCCCTTCAATTTTATAGGTGAGGAACTAAAAGGCCAGAGAGGTTGGGAGACTTCTCCACGGGTAGTAACAGGGGCAGGATTTGAACCCTGGTCCTCTGATTCCAGAGTCAGGGTCTTTCCAGGGTATCACACTGCCTCTTATCAGATCTATGGAACAGACAGAAGTGAAGTCTAAGGAGTAGGGTGAATTTTATGTGTTGGGGAGGAGGGCGTATTGGTGCACAAAGAGCTGCTGTGGGGTGGAAAGTGAGCTCTAGTAACTCTGAGGTGGTAGGTGTGGCAACAGCAGGGCTGGGAGACCCAGATTTGGGGAAGCCAGGAAAGGCTGTGGCGGCAGTGGAAGGGGAAGCCAGGTCGGGGCAGTACAGGTCAGTCTTCAGGGTAATGTATTATTGATACGGCATGACGGAGTGAGGGTTTGGCCCTCAGGTAGCCAGCCGGCATTGTGCTAGAGCTCTGCTCCTTGCCAGTGGCCCAGAGGAGTCTGGGAGTTGACTCTGGGTTGTTTCCTGGGCCACCTCTCAGCTCCGCAAGCCTGGTGCCTGCCTGCTTGCCCTGAGCCATCCAAAGTGACAGTATCACTTACAGGGATGAATGACAAGATGGGGCACCCACAGCCACAGGGAAAACACTGGGGAGACAAGCAGAGCTGAGATGCTCTCTGATAAGGAGAGCTCACAACAACAGGGGAGAGCAAAGCACAGGGTCCAGGGGACAGGAATGGCAGGGCGGTCCTCAGGTAAGCTTCTCCTCTGGAGATTTCAGAGGGAATTCTGCCAGAGAGGGCCAAGCTGGAGCTAGCCTTGGGTGTCCATCCTGTGGCTCTTGCTGTTGCCAATGAGCCCTGAACTACAAGGGCATATCCTTTCCCCGGGGGCTTCCTAAAATCAGACGGTGAAAGAGAAGCTGATTGTTGGACTTGGGGTGAGGTGCAGAGATCCAGAACTGACCTAGGACCTGGAGTTGATTCCCCTTGGGAAGATGGGGCTCCCTGGTGCTTAGCACATATTAGTCACTTAATGATGGCTTATTAACTGACTGATGTGTCCCAGAATCAGTTAGTCTGTAGAGGTTGGGGAACCGAGATGTATTTACAAAAAGAGGAAGAGAAAAAAGGCAGAAGGAGCAGTAGGGAGGAATAGAGCAGAAATGGACTGAAAAGATAAAGCCCAGGGAGGGAAAACTCGGGGGGGGGGGGGGGGAAAAGCAGGGGGGGGAAAGGGGGGAATTTTGAAGAACAGAACTGGGCTTTTGAACTTGGCGCAGAAGGCAATGGGGGGGGAAGGGGGGGGGGGGGGGGGGAGCAATGCTCCTTAACATATGGTCCCCATACCAGAAAGGGGGGGTGGGGGCAGGGGGGGGGGGTGGTGGGGGTGTAACAGCCCCTTAAGGCTGCCAGAGAGGAAGCCTGAAGAGAGGAAAGCGCCAAGGAGAGATGAGGCTGAGATGAATGGAAAGTTACAGAATCCCAGGCAGAGATGAGAGCTTTAGTGGGCTGCCCAAAGGGAAAGGAATGGATGAGGAAAGCAATATGATTTCTGTGCCTGAGACGCTCAGGTCTCCTGGAGGGCTAGAGACGTGGCAGAGGCGATGCAGCAGCAAAGAGATGAACAGAGGGCAGGCTTGGTGATGGTGGGCCTGCAGCAGCTTGAGATGCAGCCCAACGTGGAGGAGGAGATGCTGGAGGAAGTTAGAGACCTGCTGTCTGTCCTTCAGACAGAGACTGGGGTGCGAGCTCCTAGGAGACAGAGAGGAGGGGAGGGGCTCAAGGAGAAAGGCAGGGGAAACTCTTGAGCCCAGACCTGCTTAGAAGGCTGGCAGGAAAGGGCCATTTCAGCATTGCCCTGGTGCCAGACGCCATGTCTGCTTCATGTTTCCAGAACACTCCAGAGAGTGCCGGCAGGGCTCTGCCACCTTGGCTGGGTTTCTGTGCACAGAAACTGTATTTGTGGGGAGCGGGAGGGGAAAGGGGAGGGGGAGGTTAACGCCTGTGTTTTTGAGCCGAATACAAAGGAGAAGTGAGAACCTGCCCCAGGATCTCTGAGGCAGGCTTTCTGTTGCAAAACTAGGAATTCTACCCATTCTTTAGAGGTGAGTGTTTTGAACACTCAGCATTAGGGACAGGCATGATACTTAGTTTTTAAGAGTTTGCTCTAGGGTTGACAGAGGGAAAGACAAGGCAACCATTTGTGTAGAAGAGAGCAGTTAAGATAATAATTATAGAGCTAGACAGATATGAAAAGGACCTTATAGACCGTCAAGGCCAATCTCTGCATTTTACAGAAGAGAAAACATACCCATGGAGGCTAAATGACTTCCCCAAGGTCACATCGACAGTAAGCATCAAAGGAGAAATTTGAACCCAGGCCCTCAGACTCCCAAACCAGTGTTTCTTCCCCTGTCCCATGCTGCCTCTAATACTAACAGTTTTTCACGTTTATATAGTTTTAAATTTTCACATTTATACAGCTTTAAGTTTTTTAAGTACGTTGGATATGTTATCTCATTTGGGGTTAGGAGTAGTGAATTAGGGAAAATCTGGTATTAACTGGGTAAAGATTTTTGTAAGAAGTGACCTGAGAGTTGGGGGGTTAGGCATATTGGGGGATGGAGGTGGTTCAGTTCTCTAGGAATGAACTTGGCAAAGCTTAGAAACCAAAGAAAGAGAAATCTGTGGAGACATAAAAGGCTATTCAAGTGCTCTCTATTAAGGCCAATGTGGCTAGAAACTGAGGAATCAGGAACCCAGAGTAGGAAAGGGACCAGCTTTTGTACCTAACCCTGACGTCCCTCACTCTTTAACTTACTTATTGTTCATTTTTCCTGTGAAGAAGCTTTACCTGAAAGTCCTCAAAGCTCTCCGGGCACCCCTAGTCTCTCTACCACTGTTTTGTCCTCATTTAGCCCAGCCTGGGAAAAACTACAAGCAAAAGTGGGCTTTTGTACACACTTTGTATTCTGTTTGTCTCCCTTGATAGTATTGTAAATTCCCTGAGGGCAAGCATTGTTTGTTTCACTTTTGTCTTTGTATCCCCAAGCACCTAGCAAAATGGTGCATAATAAATGCTTATTGATTGTTGATTTTATTGGTACAAGTTGCAAAGAGGTATATTTAGGCTTGATGAAAAGAAAATCTTCCTAACAATTTAGAGGTATCTAAATAATTTGATTCAAGATATCCAAAACAATTAGGATCTCTAATCATTTGAGGTACACAAAAGTGGAACAGGCTGCCTTAGGAGCTATTTGGGGGGTGAGGACCTTGCAGGGGGTCTTCAAGCAAAAGCTGGATGGCTACTTTGGGAGTGGATTGTGGGGAAGAGTCTTGTTTGGTATGGATTGCACTGGGTGACCTTTGAGGTCTCTTCTACCTTTTACCTTCTAGGAGTCTACAGGTACCACCATCTTTCCTCTCAGTTCATGTAGAGACTAGACTTTTCAAGGGAGTCTCTAGCACATAAGAGAAAGAAGGTAACAGAAAGGAGACAAAAAAGAGAGAGAGAAAAGAGAGAGATTGAAGATGACACTTAGGTGACTGAGAGGATGGTGGTGCAGAATTGGAGCTCAAGACACAGACCAGGGCTAGAAACATAGATTTGTAAAGAAATTTAGGGAACACAACGGACAAATCACAGAGCACAGGTATCTTTTCCTAAGAGGTCCCTAAAGTATGTTTAGGGGTTAGCAAAATCTTCCAGTGGTGTGGTGTAGTAGAAAGAGCATTGAATTTGGTGTTGGAGGACCTGGATTCAGATTCTGACTCTAGTACTTGCTAGTCATGTGGCCTTAGCCAAATCACTTCCCCTCTTGGGAGCCTCAGTTTCCTCATCAGTAAACTGAAGGGGTTGGACTGGATCATCTCCAAGGTTTAAAATCCCATGCTCCTGATCCTAATTGGCCTGTGTGGCTCACAATTTTAGCCTGATCTCACCACTTGTCCAGCTGCCATTTTGTGCTGGCCTGTTCTTTCTTGAGTGTCTTTTTGATGCTAACAACAGCTAAAACTTACATGACACTTCAAAGTCTGCAAAGTTCTTTACACAAATTATCTCATTTGATCCTCCCAACTCGATAAGGTAGGTGCAATTATTATCTACAGATTGGGAAACTGGGGCTTAGAGATGTGAAATGACTTGTCCAGTGCTTTCCCCTTGTTCTTTGGAGCTGGTGTCCTTCTGGGCTCCCCCCCACAGGCACTTGCAGCTTTCCATACTTGGCCACGTTTTCAAGACTTTACCCAGAGTAATCTCGTGACTCACCTTCCTTTATACTAAGAAGCTTATGATAGGGCACACTCAGGCAATGTAGAGTATTGCGTCCTCCCCACTGTAAGGGAGAGGTCATTTCCTCATAGGAATAAAGGAGGCAGGAGGTTTGAAGAGATAGGTGAGGTGGAGAGCCTTGAAATTTATGGTTCAAAGTTTGCAGAATATGGCTTCAGACCTAGAGAGAGCTAAAAGACAGAGTGAAAGCATCTAGAAGAGGAAGAAAGGTGT